CAATGATTTATATTTTGTGAGCTTCAGAAAATGTAAACAAATAACCATTATTTACATTTAGGGGGAAAACATGGATCTCTCCTTGAACAGACATTATAACAATGAACATTGGATAACTGTTTTTTTTCCCTTTGTTCCTACTGTTACTTTGTAAAGACCATAGACTTGTTCTTATGTGATTCATAATTTTATGGTTTTTGCAACAAAGCCTTGCCCATTATTTTCTTACGATAAAATGAAATCAATTTTCTGGCCGGTTATTCATGACCTACTAAGAAATAAGTATGCCGTCAGTGGTGAAGTTTCAGGCTGCACACTATTAGTGATAGCCGGTATTTGTCTATTATTGTTTAGCATTTTGTAGAATGATGGTTTGTTTCTAATCATTGTGGAATCTTATGAGTGGCAGGTCCACCCGGATCGGGAAAAGGTACTCAATCACCAATAATTAAGGATGAGTACTGCCTGTGTCACTTGGCCACTGGTGATATGCTGAGATCTGCTGTTGCTGCTAAAACCCCTCTCGGTATTAAGGCCGGAGGCTATGGATAAGGTCAAATTCGTTTTCACCATGTGTCGAATATTTTAAATGTTCTTAGTAGGTTGGTAATGAGTAATGATTAATGAGGTGTTTTGTGAATTTCCTTAGGGAGAGCTTGTTTCCGATGACCTAGTTGTTGGCATTATTGATGAAGCAATGAAGAAACCTTCATGTCAAAAAGGTTTCATTCTTGATGGATTTCCAAGGACTGTTGGCCAAGCACAGAAGGTTTTGCCTTCTTTCAAATCTTTATCCACCTTGGGTTTTTAAAATTTGTATGTATACCCACTCTTATTATGTATTATTGATCTTTGGCTTGCAGCTTGATGAGATGCTTGAAAAGCAAGGAGTTAAAATCGATAAGGTGCTTGATTTTGCAATTGATGATTCAATCTTGGAGGAGCGGATTACTGCTCGCTGGATCCACCCTTCTAGTGGTAGGACCTACCATACAAAATTCGCACCTCCTAAAGTTCCCGGCGTTGATGATGCAAGTCGAACAATTTTACTTCAGTTTGTCCCATAAATTCATTCCATTGCTGAAGAGCCTTTTCACCTTTTTCACCAGTTGATGAAGTTGACTGAGTGAGTGGTATATTAAGCAATTTTTCGCAACAGTTTATATGCACTAATTTTATGCAATTTATTGGTGACTTGTTTCAATCTCTTAACCTTTACCTGTATATAACATCATTACCGATTTTTCAAAGTAGTTGCAGTTACATTAACAACCATACTTTCGTGTTTTACTTCTCTTCAAGGTGACTGGGGAGCCTTTGACTCAGCGTAAAGATGATACTGCGGAAGTTCTCAAGTCAAGGCTAGAGGCATTTCACAGGCAAACCAAACCGGTATGTTATCTCTGTTCCCAACCTTGTTCAAATTGTGAAAGACCCAACAATATATTTTTAGTATCGGTTTTAACAAGTTAACTGGAATTGGATAGTTACTAACTATATAGGTGCAGTAAAATTATACTCACAAGGGAGATAAATAGGTTTTGTACCATATGTAGTGGTGTACATGAGCCAAGTCAAGCTCAAGTTCAACTCGAGCTCGGTTAAGTTTATTATTAAAGTGAGAGTTAGATACGAGGTAATGATTGAAGTACTTGATCTTGCTTAATTAGGCTCGTTACCTAAAGGCTCGATTCCCATGCTTGACTTTAAAGTCGATCATGTAGGTAAATGAGCCTAATTAAGCAACCTCAAATACTTCAATCTTTAGCTCGTATATGAGGGAACATGATTATCATAAACTAATAAATGCTGTTTTTCTAAAACTTGTATGAACTCCATGATGTTAATTAAATGTTTTATGAATTGTCATTAACATTCTAAATGGTGTGTTATTCAAAACTCAGGTGATAGATTATTATTCCAAGAAGGGGAAGTCGCGAAGCTCCACGCCGAGAAGCCCCCGAAAGAGGTTACGGAAGAGGTGAAGAAAGTACTTTCTTGAAGAGACCTCGTTGCTGGGTGGTCTCATGAATGTTGCTTCTTTTTAACTTACAAACAGGGACAAAAGATTTTAGAGTTCTCTCATGTTTTGGTACATGTCATTGTTATTTTGGCCCTAATATCAGGTGCTGTTTGTTCAAGTACTGATGAGGATGGTGCTTATACTTGACAACAGTTGATTTTTGGACAATTTTTCATCTGAAAGGTGTTTATGTTTCTCTCATTGCAAATCAAAATGTAGTATGCTGTGTGTGGGTATATGTTGCTTTGATTACTTATTTTGTTCAATACTCATGTTTGATACATGAACATAAGAATACAGGGGTGTTCACTTTTCGGTCTTAATCAAATTAATCGATCAAACATAAATTTAGTTCAGTTAATCGGTTGGTTAATTAGATGTTAGAATAATTATGGTTCAAAGAGTCATATGAATGCTTCAATCTATTTTATACGATTTTCAATGAAATCGTATATTGTGTAATTAAAAAAAATGATAATTAAAGTTGGCTTTATTTTATAAAAGTTTATAATAGAAAAAAGGATAGCATTACAAGTTTTAATTATATATAAAAAAAATTTATAAGTGTTTTTCTTCTTCAAAATGTATTGATAACCCTTAAAAATGTTATATTTCACGTCTTTTTACTTAGGTTATTGGTTCAAAAGCTTGTTTAGTTACATGTTGTTGCATTTAAACCATGTAGTTGTATATGGTTGTTTTATTTTGCTACATCATTTAAGCTCATTTTATTCATGATGTGCAGTGATTAAAACTTAAGGAGAATTGGAGAATTGCTACAGCATTCTAGATGACATTATTGGGCTTACAAAAGGATAAAGACGATGAAGATATTTATTTGATGATGTTCACGTGAATCCCTTTTTTTTCAACTGTCACGTGTGAATTCCTTCAACCTGTCGCCCAGCCCACACATATGAAGGGAATATTTCTTAAGACGCGTTTGGTTCATGGAATATAAATAGATAATGATACACTCATTTTAAGAGAAGTTTTGAAAAGTATGAGATAAGAAAGAGGAAGAGGTTGCTGCAACACAAATTCTTAATTTTTCTTCCCTTCTTCCTCCTTTCGTGGTGGCCTCCATAGCCAAGCTCCATGGGGATAGCAAGTTAGGCCTTTGAGAGAAGCTAGTTTGCTAAGGCGGCTCACGACAGCTCACACTTGGGAGTTCTCTTCTCCTTAGTTGATTTTCATTCTTATTTGCTAGTGGGTTTGTTAATGAAACAAATGTTGAAGATGTTTGATTCTAGTCTCGTCATGAACTAACTTATTTGGTGTGGGTTTGCTATGGATGAATATGTTTTTGTTTAAATGAATGGTTTGATATTTTTCATGTTTAAATGCTTGGATTTATAAGAGCTTTCAAGAGCTAGTCGGTATTCATTTTTTATGCTTAATATCGATAGAGTTAGGCTTAGATCGACGTGAACAATGGGGTTGAGCTGGGAAGCAAAACCCTAATTAACCTTAGAGATAAGAATAAGGTTTCAACATTTAAAAGGAGTATGACTTATTCGATAGAATCTTGTTGATGTTTACGCCGAGAGTTATTGTTGTAGCATTAGGTTTCTTACTAGAGATAGCTAGAAACACTTTAGCAAACTCTTTCGAGCAGCATACCATGATAGATGTAAACCATTCTAGAGGCAAGACATAGGATTCCTTAGTAAACCCGGTCATTTATCTTTCTTGTAGCCTGTTTGTGAGAGGTTGTCAAGTTAACTTATTTCATTTGTTCATTCCATTTACATTTTTTTGTTTATAGTTTAAGTGCATTAGCTTCACTCGAAGTCCCTCCAATCTCTAGAGACGATACTCACTCATTATTATATTACTTCTTCGATGTATATACTCGCACAAATTACTTATCAGATATAGTACACTCACACGTAAAATTTATAAAATGACCAATTTAACAATTTTAATTGTTACAAAATGATCTTATATAATGTTAAAATAGAAATAAATTTTGAAAAGTCACTCATTTTATATTAATTTGATAAATTTAAAATCATTCTTTTAATTTAATAAAATTTAATGAATATATTATAATTATTTAAAAATTTTAGTAATCATTTTGTAATATTTAAAAGTCACATATTAAAAAATATATAATATTTAATGACTTACCAATATAAAATTACTTCAAACATCCTAATCTAATGCAAAGTCAACAAATGTTAAATTAACCAAGTGTCAAACTTCAAGGGTTGAAGAAGCCCCTAATTTAAAAAAAATTAATCTAACTTTTAATTTTATTTTTGCATTCAATTAATATTTTATATTAAAAACAATGTGACTCTTTAGTACATTGATTGTTTATTTTTTAAATAAAATTGAAAATAAAAAATATTACTCGTAAGAGTAAAGTTGATAAATAGCTTAAAATGATTAAAAACTAACTGTTAAAATTGACCACAATATTTAATTAATATAATTTATTAATTTGATTCTTAAATTAATTTAATATCTTAATATAAGAATTTAATTAGATATAAAAAATAGCAGTTGAATTGTTGTTGGGTTTTTTCTGCAAAAGTTTAGGTAGGGATGGGCATGGGATTGAACCCGTCGGGTTTTGACCTGACCCGATCAAAAAAATTAGATTCATGTCGGGTTCGAGTTTTTTTATGCAATGTTCGAGTCGGGTCGTGTTCGGATTTAGGGTAAAAATATCCCATCCGACCTAGCCCGAAAAAAATATATAATTTTACTTTATATATTTAAGAATAATTATAATAATATTCCTCTATATATTATTTTTTATAATAAAATATTATTTTTATTTAATAAAAATAATATTTTATTATTATTTCGGGTCAAATGAAATCTTATTTTGGTCGAATCAAATCAAATTTCGGGTAGATAATTTTTTGTTCTCGGGTTGGGTCGGGTGGACCAAAAAACCGTCCCAACCCATGCCCATGCCCATGCCCATCCTAAGTTTAGGGGAATTTTATGCTTAAATTTTTGTTATAAACTCTGCCTCACAGAGCTCGAAAGTAGAACAATCAAATTACTTTCTCTCCCACCAAACATTTTCCATCTTCCACTCTTTCCACCGTCACCGACCGTCGGCTGACTTCTCCGGCGAAATCGTTTACAAAGGTAATCGCCTTTTGATTCACTTCCTCTTCATCTACCTCCACACACACACACACCTCATCACCGCCATCATCTTCTTCCTCGCCATCTGATATTTGATTCACTGATGTTCTTAGCTGAATCGCGATTCGCTCATCGATCCAATTATTTCAGTATGCGTATTTATTTATTGGGTTTAAAGTTAGATTCTTTTGTGCTTCCATATAAGTTGAAATGTATGGTCATCGTTTTTAAAATAAAAATAAAAAAAGTCCCTCTATGCTGACGCCGGTAGGATTAGGGATTTTAGCTCCAAATTAAATTTCTGGGGAAATATATTTGTTGAATAATAAATGTTTCTCTTTTCGTCTTTTAGTTTTACGTATAGCTGGGATTTGATCATATGTCAAAGGTGTTTTCTTTCAGTTCTATGATGAGTGTGTTACAGATAAAATCTGATTGATTATTTACACTGGACTTGCCTGATGTTTTCCGATAACATAGCTTCCATAGCTATATGTTTGGCTGTAGTTTCAAATGATCAACACATCCTTAGATTTTCTGTAGCCGGATTTACTTATTATTTGAAATTTGATGATTTATAATAATTCCACTACTTATAAGCTCTCAACCATTGCAGAGCTACCTTCGGCGTCGTTTGTAACAAATGGCTTCTTCCTTCCGAGCATTCCTAAACAGTCCAGTTGGCCCCAAAACAACTCACTTTTGGGGGCCTGTTGCAAATTGGGGATTTGTTGTCGCTGTATGTTTAACCACCATCACTTTAAGTTAGCTTTTTAAAATGTTCAGTTGTTCACCCTTCGGACAAAGTTATGCTGGATCGGAGAAACACACACAACTTTTGTTTTATGACTCGTGTCTGAACATTTTGTATGAATGTGTCAGGGATTGGTGGACATGAAGAAGCCCCCGGAAATGATTTCTGGCAATATGACATCAGGTAAAAGAATATAATTCAAAGAAGCTACCGATTTTTCTTGGCATTTATTGCCTGCCCAGGATTCTAATTATTCTCTTCTGTTCCGCCGTGTAGCAATGTGCGTCTATTCTGCATTGTTCATGAGGTTTGCATGGATGGTACAACCACGAAACTATCTGCTGCTGGCATGCCATGCTTCAAACGAGACAGTACAGCTCTACCAACTTTCTCGTTGGGCAAGAGGTCAAGGGTAAGTATGGTCTTTGTGGTTCACACTGAGCCTAAGTTACTCGTACTTAGGGGTGAGTGTCAGATACATGTATGTGTTGGGTATGCTCAACCTTTTTCGAGATTTTCCATATATCTGGAGAATCTCACCCTCATACCTATGATAGAATATGTGCTGGATACAGGTTTCGAATACACGTATGTTAGGGAGAATGAAAAGTAGGAGCAATATTGCATTGAGCTAATTTCTTTTCTATGTGATTGCTATCGAGTTTGCAATCATTCTTTTTGCATATGCATTGCCCTTTCACTGGCTAATGCTGACTTATGCTTACCAGTTACCATCTTAGGGATCGAACCAGATTGTTACTGTCAAAGTTGAACTTCCGATATTATATTCCTGTTTTTATAAACAAAATGTGGTTTTGCCTTAGAGAAAGCATGGTAAGCTGTAGACATCTTAGTCGATGTTTCCATAGTATCTGGACTTTCGTTTTTTTCCCCTTCTGTGTGGTTGCTATCGTTATCGGTTGTTAAAACGCACCGATTCTTATGGAGAAGGACGTGTTTTTGCTGGATTCTAACATACTATTATCGCGATGTTGTGAAGGTATTTGTCTGGGAAGAAAGAGGAAGCTTCATCGCAGTAAAGCGAGCTCGGGTCTGAGCTGCTTTTTGTTTCTTTCAATTCCATGTTTCTGTGAGTTTTTACCATGACCCTGAAGAATGCATTCTGGACTTACCCTATAAGCATTCTTATGAAAATGATTGTTTTTGATTTTGCAACCACTGGGGTTTCGAATCGCTTTAACCGATCATGAATGTATAATTTTCAACTTATACATACATATATATATATATATATATATATTATATATATATATATAATATATATATATATATATATAATTACGTATAAATTTAGATAACATTTTGAATGAATATATATGACTCAACTCAAATCTTAACTCGAAAATATGTATCTTTCTCCCAAATTAGATCTAATCCGAAAATTTTATTTTTTTCATTATGTCTAATCCGACTCAAAAAATATATATCATCCGACTCCGACCCGACTAGACCCAGTATAGTTAAAAATATGTTTTTTAAATTACATTATTATCTTCGGATCAAGTCGGGTTAGTTTTTTCATCATCCATCCGAATACAATCCGATCTCACCCCTGAAAAAATCTGACCCTACCCGAATTTCTTTTTAAAAAAATCCAATCATATCTGGTTGGACTCGAGTTAAATTGTCATACCTAAATAGAAAGCGATTTGAATTTATTTTTATCTGATAATGGATATTATAGATTATAATGATTTAAGATTTTATAAGTTTTGAATTTAGAATTGAGTTTTACTGTAATTTAGATAAATTTAAATTAACAGAATGATAGGAGATCAAGACAACTTATTGATACTTCAATTAATTAAAAAAATATCGAAGAATAATAGTTGCAACATCAATTAATAGAATGAAAGTGTAAAATTTTTATCTTTCAAAAAAATTGAAAAAAAATAGAATAAATGACATGGATTCCATATCAATAAAAAAATATGCACCAACATATGTGGTTGTTATATCACGTTTCCATTTATAATTTAACACTAAAATAGGAACAAACCCAAAACTCATTGAATAATTAAAAATTCTAAATTTTAGGAACTAAAATAGGAGTAAGAAGAAGGTTTGAGGGACGGATTTGTAATTTACCCTTACGTTAATACAGTTGAAACACTACAACTATCAGATAGGGATAGAAAACGGACGGGTCGGGTGCGGATAACCCCTCCCCATCCCCATACCCACCTAATATTTTTAAATCCACCACCCGCCCACCACCCATGATTGGTAAAATTTTTCAAATCCACATCCGTCTACGCGGGTACATCCTCAAATTCATCTCCACACCCACTATCCAACTGGAGACGTACCCGGCTAGACCCTCCTGACAGCAACCTTAAATTATACATAAGCAACAAACATAAAACAAACACGTCCATTAAGAAACATAATAAAATAAACTAAGAATTATCTGAGTTAAGTGTTAACATTGATCTTAAAGTACATAAAACGCCATAATAAAAGACATAATTAAAGCCTAGAAACATAAATAACAAAACATAATATTTTTGTTCTTTGACGCACATAAATGACAAACCCTAAAATTATACATAAATTTATAATGTTCCAAAATTTAATGGGTATTTACTGAGCGGACGGATGCAGGGCGGGTAAAGTCTCAAACCCATCACCCGCCCAATACCCGCGACGGACACCACTTTCTAAATCCATATCCGTCCACTATCCACGAAAATTATACTCATCTCCACCCCAATTAGAACGAATACGATGTAGAATCCACGAAATTATACCCATTTACCCTCCCTACTACCGGACCAAACTGGTAATCAGCGTAAGTTTATTCATCATCATCAGCAATGTCATGTCCTTGACTTTTGCTTCTTTTCTTGGATTTCAACTTCTTCGTTCCCTCTTTTTCTTTAGACGCCTTCTTTTTCTTTTTTCCCTCTTTGTTTTCTTTAGACAACGAATTCTTTCTTTTTATCGGTGGTTTTTCGGTTTCGTCTGCAATTTGAACTTCATCTATGCTCGGGGCATCAGGTGCGGCCGTATCGGCTGCATAGTGTTTAACTTCTGCATATAAGAGAATTACATTCAAAATTAGCAGCAACAACACCCGGTAAAGCAGTACGGTTAACCTAATATCATAAAATTCACACTCTAATGGCTCCAACCTCCCCACTCCGACTAATCCTCCCATCGGTCCCCGAAGGATCAAGCCTAGATGCATGGGGATTTCCACCTCGATGTAAAGGCATGAATCACATGATTGCAACGTTTTCGGGTTTGCAGCTTATGCTGATGATCCTACACTCTACCCATACCTGAAAGCTATGTTACTCGGATATGTTCAATTTTCTCTTACAAGGTTTTCCATGTATTTGAAGTGTCTCTAGAGGATCATATCCCATGCCCCTGTCCTAATTTTTTTAGAGAAGGATGCCATACACAAGTACTTCAAGCAAAAGGAAGAATCGGGGCAACATAGTCTACAAGGCGGAAAGGGCAACATTCTCGAGTTCGCAGCTGATGCTAATGATCCTGCATTCTATCCATACCTGAAAGCTATGTTACTCGAACATGTTCAATTTTCTTTTTGAAGGTTTTCCATGTATTTGAAGGTTTTCCATGTATTTGAAGTCTCTCTATAGGAGACTATCCCATACCCATGTCCTAATATTTTTTGAGACAAGGATGCCATACACAAGTACTTCAAGCAAAATGAAGAATCGAGGCAACATAGTCTACAAGTCGGAAAGGGCAACCCCTACACTTGAACAATAAAAATTCCCGGGAAAGAACTGACCTTCTTCAGTAAAATTTGTATCGAAAACAACTTTTGTAAGATGCTGCTTTAGGAAAACCTGCACCCAGAAAATTGTAGGCAGATAAAGGTGATTTGTTTGCAGTGTATTTTTATGCAGCTTAATTAACCACATCTAGACTCTACTTCTCAAATAGAACATACCGACGATAGAAGTCGCCTTGTTCCGATATCCCAAACGCGCAGATAACTGTCCAAGCCTGAAAAATATCGAATTTTGTCAGTTTTGTTGTATCTATAAATAGATTTACCCCAAAATATACAACAGCAATGCATAAAGCTTAAGCAAAATAATTCCAACCTAACAAGCCTAGAAGCTAACAATTGCAAATTCACTCATATTTTTAAAAGGCAAGCATGAAAATAGTGGGAGAAAACATTAATAGTATGATAAGATTATGGAAAGAATGAGGAATTAAAAACCAATTTGGAGGTCAAACCGGTTGGACCTTCAGTTCCTAGTTCATCCAGCCAGATCAACAAATAAGAACAATAAATAACAATGAAAAATTCATAAAAAATGCAAAAAGGGAAAAAATAGGGATTGATTATATTGACAGCAAAGTACAGATGAAAAGGAACAATTCTTTTTTTTTTCCTTTTGCACAAATCAATCAAATTGGGTAGTTAAAAGTCCCAAAACATAATTAACAATTCTGGTTCAATCTTAATATTGTTGAACCATTGAACTTAAGTCTTAATGGTTCCCGGTTGATCCGGATTTTTAATCACTTCAGAATCATTTGAGACACATTAGAAATCCTTTTCCAATCCTATTCTAGCTCTTCAAGCAACAAAATCGTCTCCACGTCCCAAAATACAGCTTCCCATTACGAAAGTACAGAATGAGTGCAAACACAGGTTATACAAGTGCTTAGCTTAGTGCTTAGCTTTATAAACACTACAGCATATACTCACCACAAGATGCTATCACGGGAAGTTCAGGGTGCCGGGCAATGGATCGAATGCTTCCAGAACATTTCCCCAAAAAGCATCCTAACAATTTACCTATAAGGAAAAACTTTCACCATTAACCGAATTTCACAGAAAAATAGACCTCAAATCATTTAAGAAAAGCTTAGTCAAGAAATGACACACAAAAGAGGTCAGTGGTTTCTAATTATTTCAGATGCTCTACAGGAAACCAGCAAGTCCAACCTATGCTTTATTTAGTTCCATAACCTGTCTTGAATTTTGGCAGAAACATCAAAGAAAAGGGATTGAAACATCAAGTACATACAGATAGCTGAACCACACGATTTCAACTAACAAATATGTAATAGTTGAACCACAAGATTTCAACTTACAAATATGTAAAAACTGAATTTCTAGCCAAGGCATTAGGATAAACTGTACATCAATTATAATCTGTTACACTTAGAACTCAAAGAACACTTTAAGCCCGCGTTTGATGGAGAAAATAATGAATTGAGGAGATCTGCAAACAGACTGAGTTTGGTCTTGAGGGAAAATTTAGCATAAAGTACGTAACATGCAACCATCATAAACAAAAATTCCAACCTAGAGCTCCAAAAACTTCAATAACTTAACCAGAACAAGATCATAAATATAATAACAGACGTGGACTTAAATTTCTTCAACTAATGACTGAGCTACCAAGAACCGGAAAAGCAGAATGGCATAAAGAATTGTAGAACAAGCACGTAGTATCAACCCCATACCTGTCCGTATGTCCACCGAAGCAAGGTCACCAGATCCGTTCCCTATATAGATTGTATGACCATCTGTGTCTTCCGCAACTGCTTTTATAGGGGTCTCCCTGAAGTCAAATGATATAACTGGCCTCCGTTGGGCAGAAACATCATAGAGGCGAACCTGTAACGGAAATGGTTGAAAGATAAAAGTTATCTTGAATCAGGGAAATACAATATGATAGAAGCTACTGATAAGGATGAAATGCATTGCTACAACTCAATCCCGTAGTCCTTACATAGTCACAATTCCGAATAAAATTGATAAAAAAATGTGCCTTTTCACATTCTTGCAAATTCAATGAGGTCTAGACCATGAATCACACAAACATGAAGCTAAAATTAAAACTGTCTAGAAACTGCATTTTCAAAAGTTTAACTGAAATCAACTACTAAATATCTTGAAACTGGCATGGCTTCTCATTACAGAAGTAATTCTAGAAACTGGTAAAAGATGATCAAGTATAAAGTTCCTTCAGAGAAGAGGAAAAAGGGAAAATATATGTCTATACAACCAAAGGTATATTAACATGTTAGTATCATGTTCGAGGAGAGGCTGATAACCTCAAAAGGCTACCTGATGATTATTGGTACCAGCCACAATTTTACGGTGATCATCTTTGCTGAGGAATGTTGCAGCCGTAAACCAAGTAGGGGTAAAA